TACAACACCAGCTGTCCTGGGCCTCCATTTACAGAGAGCAGATAGAGGGACTTCTTCACCTCCATGCCTTCAGAGTAGAGGGAGCCAATAACTCAGAAGTCAGTCTCTCTCTCTTCCTGGGACACTAAAACAAATAAAGTTCCAGGCAAGTCAGGGTAAGTTGGTTACCCTATCAGAGTCCAACTGTATTTTAAAATAGTGGGGTTTCCCTCAGACTTAGAGAAGTTCCCCCATTATTAATCAATCCATCACTTTTCCTGAGGACCCTCCTAAAATCTGTTTAGTTTAGCTATTGTCCCCCAGAACCTCCAAAGTAAGTCACAACAGTATATCAACTTAAAGACCACAGGTTATTTAATGCAAGAAATTCACCTTTCTGTTCTCTTTTCTGTGCCCTGTGCACAATCATGATGTGCAGGCAGCTCACCAGAGTTCACATCACAAGCCTAAATAAAAAGTAAGTAACACCCTGAACATGAAAAACACCAATTTTCTCCCACAGAATTCACTAGATAGAAACCTTAGTCAGAAAACAAAATATCTCCCCTGTTTGTTAAAACTAAAATCTGAAATAAATTATAATCCATTATTCTCATCCTCCTCACTTCTTATTTTGTTTACTCTCTACTGGAGTGTTCACTCACATGGAGTCTCAATTCCTTTTTTGCCTCTGTGGCCTGGAACAACTTCCACTGGGATGGGTGGAGCTCCCTCAAACCCTCTAAAATTGGATTAATCCAAGTCTATTTGTCTTACTGCTCTGGATTTCTGAAGTTTGTGAGGGTCAGCAGAACATACAAGAACATCAGTGGCTCACAAAATACACAAGCAAATACCAAGTCATGACAGCAGTTCATTTCCAAGCAAAGTTATTTCTCTGGGTCTCAGCATATGGTATAATCCAGACTGCAGTGCTGTTGGCAGTGAAAGAACATAGCAGAGACTTAATGTTTTCTTGGGAAAGGTGGGTAGACAAAGAAAACAGGAAAGAGAAAACAGAAGACATGTTTCACATTTTTCCTGCTCTGACTACAAGACCAACACTATTTTATGAGATGATCACTTTCCTTTTAGAGTTTTCTGAAGCAAATCTGAGTCTGAGGTACAGTGTTTCAGTAAAAACTTTAAAATTTCTTTTCAGATCTTAGAATTTGAATTACACTGAATTTTTTCACAGTATCACCATGAACAAAAAATGCTTTCCAATTCTCTTTAAATGGTTATTTGAAGCAAAAATACCCTCCATGCCAACCTCCAGCCCCACTCCATCACAGTGGAACCCACAGCTTGGCTCATATATGTGATGTGAGTTTATAAAATGAACAGGTCAGAACCAATGTGAGGCCATATTCTGGTGGAGACCACGATGGTGAGGGCACAAGTTAAAGTATTATAGGACCTCAGCGCAAGCTACTTGACTCCAAAGCTGAGGGTCACACTGAGTTTTTTTCCTTGTATTTTCTACAAAACAACATAAAGAGAAACTGTTTGGAGCTACCATTCTAGTGCCACCTATCATGCTACGCCATAAGAATTTAAATTCCAAAAGTTTCATGCATTAATTTTCTGTAATCCTCACAAATTTAATGCTATTAAAGTCTAAAATACTGGCTCACTGTTGTGGCTGAGTAATACAATGAAAAGAAAGCAAGTTCTGACAACAACTCCACCTACCAGTACTTAAAATATGCCTAAATGTACCTAAATGTACCTCTTTTCCTGAAAGTATGACATTGACTCAAGTGACAATGTCAGCTGTCACAAGTACACCAAGAGCATCAGTCTCCTTACATAGTACTCTGGCCAAAATAGCAGGTCTTATGTAGACATCCACATGAGCCCACACTGCATGTCACTATCTGTCTGGTATCTATTTGGGGAAAGAGAAGTTTTATATGTTATAAAATAGCATTATAGCAAAGTATCCAACAATATTGTTCTGATGCTCATTGCTCCTTTTTGTGGGACTACAGCCCAAATATTTGCAAGAAATATTTAATGGGAAACAAAACAGCCCTTTATTAATATAAAGAACTATATACAACTATAAAACTACACCTGATATTTGCAAGCCTGAAGCTGTGCCCCATCCTTCAAAAGTCTTTATGACTTTCTGGAAGATGTAAAACAGATGGAACAGATGGATGGCAAAACTCATTAGGACTGAACAATTTTCAGCCTCACATGAGAAAAAGGGGAACATTACAAGAACCCTCAAATATACTCAAGTTTAGATATAATGGGAATTAAAAATTAGCTAAATAACAAACAGAACTAAAACTTATAGAAGCTGAGTCAAACTGGATGGTAGAACTCAAATGTTAAGGTTTGATGTCAATGGAAACAGAAGCATATTATAAATAAAATTGAAACCTAGACCTAAGTTTGTAAATTTTTTTTTTAAAGATTTATTTATTTATTTATACAAGCACTGGGTACAGTCAGAAGCGCGGGAGGGTGAGAGAATCCACCAGAGCCAGAGCGGGGAGCAGAACTGGCAGACTGACGAAGAAGTACACTGCTGAGGGGAGCAGCGGGCACAGGCACGGCAGGAGAGGTCTGCGCGCCATGTGGGACACTTGCCGGCAGCCAGGGATCGAACCAGTGCTGCAGAGGCTGCGGGCAGCCCAGCGCTCAACTGCTGTGCCACCGGGGAGGCCCAAGTTTTGTAAATTATTTCAGAAAAATGTGGAAAGTCTCAGAAACAGTGTTGGAAGATTTTGAGGGTACTGCTGGAAAGATTAGGAGATGTTATAGATCCTGAGGAGTTTTGATGCAACAGAAGAATGTAAGTTAACATTTTTATTAGTGATAGATTATTTAGCACCTTTTTTTTTTTTTAAAGATTTATTTATACAAGCACTGGGTACAGTCAGAAGCGCAGGAGGGTGAGAGAATTCACCAGAGCCAGAGGGGGAACAGAACAGGCAGACTGACGAAATACACTGCTGAGGAGAGCAGAGGGCCCAGCAGGAGAGGTCTGTGTGCCATGTGGGACCCTCACCGGCTGCCAGGGATTGAACCGGCGTTGCAGAGGCCGCAGGCAGCTTCACAGCCCAGCGCTCAACCGCTGCGCCACTGGGGAGGCCCTATTTAGCACCTTTTAAAGAAAAATTCTGAAATCCAAAACCTCTACCCAAGAAGGTTTCGGAGAAGGCATGGTATATCTAGTAACAATTTAGTTAAAGTGTCAGAGAGCTTTTTCTCTCATCACATTTAAGTGTTCTATTCTAAAAACATTTTAATTGCCTTATGAAAGTTTTTTTTTTTTTCAGATTTTTTTCCAGCTTTATGGAGATGTAACTGACATGACATTTTGTAAATTTTTTTTTAATTGAGGTAAAATTTGGTTTACAACACTCTATGTATTTAGGAGCACAGGTCAAATGCATGTTACCATACCATGCCCACCACCAAAGTACCAATAACCCTGAACAGTCCACTGCGTCCCCATCCCTTTGCTCCCACTCTCCTACCCCCTCTGATGACCTCGGTTCTACAGTTGGAATCCAAGGGTTTGCTTTGATTCTATTTTGTCCGTTCCTTTGTTTTGTTTCTTTATAGTACACATATAAGTGAAATTATCTGATATTTGTCTTCCAGTTCCCATCACCCACCCATTGATGGATATTTAGGTTGTTTCCATATCTTGGCTATGGTAAATATGCTGCAATGAACATATAGGTGCACATATATTTTTTCAGATTAATGTTTTTATATTCTTTGGATATATACCTAGAAGAGAAATTATTGGATTATATAGTAAATCTATTTATAAATTTTGGAGTAATCTCCATACTGTGAAACAGAGTTCTTAAATGGAATAATATAAAGCTAATTAAAAGGGGAAAAAAGCTATATTGTTTAAAAGACCACTAGGTCAATATTTCTTAAAGTATGTATGGTCTGGGGACTACCTGCACCCGATACTCTGAAATGCCTGTTAGGGATTCTGGGACCACACTGCAAACTTTCTACATAAGTTTCTGTGAATGAGACTTGGAATTTGACTTTCAAGCTAAGTCTCTCATGTCACTTACCTCTCTCTGCTTTGTACTTTGTTTACATACACATCTCCTCACTTGTAAGACTCAAAAGTCATGAAGACTGAGACTGTCCCTGAAAACCCTGCAGTACAAAGCCTATTCTTTTGTATATGTATGTGCATGTGTGTGTGTGTGTGTAGAGAAGAACTGGGTAGAGACCAGAGGCCCAGTGTGGGTGGGGTGAGAGGATTCACCAAAGACAGAGTAGGGAGCAGAACAGATGGATTTGCTGAAATACACTGCTAAAGGGAGCAGCGGGTGAGACAGGATAGGTCTGCTGTGTCATGTGAGTTAGCTTCCGGGGCCAACGATAGAACTCAGGCCATGGTGGTGATAGTGTGAGACTTAACCCCTAGGCTACCAGGGGCTCATTCACAGAATTATTTTCTATCAAATGCAAAAGGCATTGATTTGCTTAGTTATTTTATTTTTTTAAGATTTATTTATTTATTTATACAAGCACTGGGTACAGTCAGAAGTGCGGGAGGGTGAGAGAATTCACCAGAGCCAGAGCGGGGAACAGAACAGGCAGAAGGACGGAAGTACACTGCTGAGGGGAGCAGCGGGCGGCAGGAGAGGTCTGCACGCCATGTGGGACCCTTGCCCAGCAGCCGGGGATCGAACCGGCACTGCAGAGGCTGCGGGCAGCTTCGCAGCCCAGCGCTCAAACACTGCGCCACCGGGGAGGCCCTGCTTAGTTATTTTAATAATTGTTTGAAAATGAACTGTTTTGTGCCTTTTTGTCAAAATAAAGATTATGGAAAACACTGTCTCACCATGACCTTTTTCCATTAAAATGGTGTTGTTTAAACTTAAGCATCTATAAACCTAACGCATCATTACAAAGAAAATAAATGATACATAAAATCTATAAGGCAAGGTACAAAATATATACAGAAGACCTATAATTTCCTAAACAAATAAATAAACAAGGAAGAATTCAAGAAATCTCACCCCTTGGCCATGATATCATCCTCAATTTTTTCCTCATGGTTAATACCAACAGCAGCAAGGATACCTGTTGACTCTTCCTCTCAGGTCTCAGATCCAAGAAAAAATGAAGGGAATGTTGAGATTAGTTAAAAACTATTAGCAACTCAGCATTATATACTAATCTGCCCCAGTACCATTTCTTTTGTCTCCATGCATTTTATCAAATTTGTTGAATATGAAATGGACTGACCTCATGTGGGGAATTACACAGAACTCAGAAAAGCATATGGTGAAAATACATTTTACTTGACTTATAGGGGAGATGTCAAGATGCACATTAACAAACACGTTTCTATTTGTTTTGAACATTAACTCACTTGTGCTAATGTAAGTAAGCTTCCTTTACCATTGTGTCTGTTAAAACTCATGCAATTTGCAGCAACATGGATGGAGCTGGAAGGGATCATGCTCAGCGAAATAAGCCAGAAAAAAAAAGAAAAATATCGGATGGTCTCGCTCATAGCAGGAATTTAGAAAACCTAAATAAGGGACCAGGAAAAAAACTAATTATAATAAAGAAAAAAATCAAAATCAACAAGCAACTATAAACCAGAGACACACTATGGGGGGTAGGAGGGATTAGGGTAAAAATAAGGGGGGTTCAATTGCATGGGGACTATAACCAAAATGAAAATGCACACATTGTGCAATAACGAAAAATGATTTAATAATTATATAAAATAAAATATATTATTTAAAAAAAAAAACAAGATTCTAAGATGCTATTCTGGCTTGTGTCCTTCTGAGCAAAGAGTTCAGGAGCAGTGTTGCAGCACATTCCCCAATAAAAATAGCCCTGAGAATGTTTATGATTAGGTCTCCTGGAATAGATAATTTCCATTTCTATTCTTGACATTTATTCCTAAGTTATCATTGGGGGTTTGGGCACATAAATCATCACAGGGCTGTATCTACTACTGATTTTGAAACATTGAACAGGAGCGGACCTGAAAACTCACAACTTTACCTATGACCTGGAGACATAGAAAACAAGCATAGTACCTGAATTACAATCCCCAACACTGTGAAACAGAGAGGCCCCATCAATGGGATAGAGCACAGAAAGGAGAGCTGTCTCCTGGGAGTGCTTGGGAGACTCATTCATGCACCTGATCATTGATTCTGCAATAGAACCAGCAGGAATCATCCTAGTCTCCCATTGGGAAGCAAATAATTATTCACTGGGAAAGGTAATTCAACTGTGGCTCTATGAGAAACCAAATTAGCATATGTAAGTCATGCTATTGGATGAAAAAGATACCCTGGGAACGAAGGAAATAACGTGTGGAATGAAAGAATGTAAGCTATAACAGTGTAAAATTCCTTTATTTCCTGCTGCTAGTTTTCTCCTTCTAATACCTAAATTACCTCTAAACTAAAATATGGAAGTAGTAAGCATCACAAATCAATATAATACTAAACGAAACCCTATCCATGTTTAGAAATGTTTAAAATAAAACACATAGAATTACCGAGGGTAGGATACCAGTCATATTGAAACACAGTTGTCGAAACACAGAAATAAGATATTTATGGTATATATCTGTATTGCTTTATTAATAAACAATAGCAGCTGGTCTATCAACTACCATAAATTTTTAGCAAATTATAAGTTATCTGCAACAACTGTGCTGTATTATGGACATGAGAATTTCCATCTGAGTTCCTTGACACATATTTTTCACCATCAGCAAAAGAGTTAAAATGTCTGTTTCCGATGTGTGGGCCCTGAGAAGGAGAAGCCCCTGACCATTTCAGTCCTTCTCTCCAGGATCTCTGAATCCTTAGATCCTTATATGGGGGCAAGTGATTGTGAATATGAAGTTCTTCAAGGGAATAATCAGTCTTAGAGGCTTCATGAGACCTGTCATAAAATAAGCCTCAAGACTCTTTCAATCTGTTCCCAAAATTCAGTGACAGTCTAAAGGTTGCCATGATAATTTACAACCCTTGTTACCTGGACCAGTGAACACTAGATGTTTGGCACTTAGACTACCACAGCAACTTCCTTGCAATAAATCTCACCCTTCATGGACAAACTGGAGTCTTCAATGCCAGCCTTGGAAGAGTTTGGTATTAGGGTAGTGATGAAGTTCTTCTTGTGAGGATAAAGGAAACCATTGGCCCCCGTCCATCACATATTTGCCCGCTGGAGATATGACTTCAAGTCACTGAAGCATGGCTATATTACTTCGAGTGACTTGGGTCTGTCATGGTACCTCAAATCATAACTCTATTGTTATGTCTTTCTGTTGGAGTGTTGCCATTATTGGTCTCTTTTCTTCTTCAGCCCAGATTATATCTCACCAGTCATATGAATTCAGGCAACGCCATAGATTTGTGGTGAAATATAATAATTCCTGCATATAAATTTCCCTTATTCTGACCTAATCATATTTCTTCAAGGAGGGCTCCCCTATCCTTAATCACAAATAATCAGTTGGAGACATACCTCCAACATGAACTAATAATTAGAAGATCTTTCTATTTTGATAAATGTTGATCAGCTATGATCATAATGGATTCCAAATAGGTTCTACCATCCTTTCTACCCAACTAACCAAGAATACAGAAAGAACATGGAGACCAAGTTAATGAGAGTAGCTCTTGAATTCTGCTGCATGTTACAACCCCTAAGGAGCCTTTTAAAATGTTGAGTCCAGAACATAGCCCATGCCAAGTACATCAGAACACTTAGGGTTGGATCCAAACATCACTATATTACTGACATTACTATGAAAAAAATTAATGAAGATAAAATGATTATCTCACTACTTCTTTGGGTTGTAGGATAACACATTACTCTTTCATTTTCTAATTTTCATAGCAATTTAGTTTTTTGGTGATAACTATGTATGGTCTTTATGATGTATAAATAATCAGTTCACTTCTGGTTTAAATATTTTTTTTAATAGAGGCATGTTTATTTATTTATTTATTTGTTTGTTTCTTTGTTTGTTTGTTTGTTTTATACATGCACTGGGTACAGTCAGAAGCGCGGGAGGGTAAGAGAATTCACCAGAGCCAGAGTGGGGAGCAGAGCAGGCAGAAGGACCGAAGTACACTGCTGAGGGGAGCAGTGGGCGGCAGGAGAGGTCTGCGTGCCATGTGGGACCCTCCTCCGGTGGCTGGGGAGCAGCCGGGGATCGAACCAGCACCGCAGAGGCCGCGGGCAGCTTCGCAACCCAGCGCTCAACCGCTGCGCCACCGGGGAGGCCCAGTTCACTTCTGGTTTAACAAGCAAACTTTCAAATAGGAATGGAAACAAAGTTGTGAGGCATATCTGTGGAAAGACAAAAAAAATTCCTTTGGACTGAGAAGTGTGGGTAAAGATGGTAAATGGAAGGAAGAATCTGAAATGAACTTGTTTTTTGCTCTTTCTACTATGCAAGACTTGAACTGTTCAGGAAAGCATGTGAGATGACAACACTAGGTCCTTCATCTGGGTTCATGGATTTTATTATCCGTGTTCAAACCTACTTTCTCCTAAAACCGTGTGAGAGGACTGAGCTTCTTTGTTTTTCTTGGGAAGTTTTTCTGGGAAAAGTCTAGACTGAATTGAGCAGATTCTCAAGGAGATCCACGACCTGCCTGATTCAGATCCTTATTGTTTGAAAGTATGATCTGAGAATCACCAGTATGGGAACACTCTATTAAAATACGGGTTCTAAGTTCCACTCCAGGCCCAGTGATTCAGAAATTTTCAGATAAATAATGTACTTTTTAAGTATAAGTAACTCCCAATTACTTCATGGGTCACACTTTTACTAAAGACAAAAAAATGCATTATTCATCTGAAGTTCAAATGTTAACTGGTCGTCATACATTTCCATTTACTAAATCTGGCATCCCTATCTGATTATGAAGTGAGAAAAAAAAATATCTTTTTTTCAAAAAGAATCTCAGCAGTTCTTAGGCTCACCATACGCAGATGTCTCATAGTCACCAGGTGAGACCTTTTTTGTGGACTTAATATACCACCAGTCAGTGAACAAGATTACATCATTTCTTTACTTGGGCCTGGGTTAACTCCTGTCTCTGCCTAGAGACGATTTTTACCACTACAGGAAGCAACCACATGCTTTATACATAGACTGCCCAGTTTTGTAATGAACAATGGCCAAAAGAAAGAAAACTTTGTTTTGATCATTTCGACCTGGCAATTTCAGACAGTGCTGGTGCCTTTTTGTAGGCTGAAACCAGGAAGTCTGGTTGCAAAGTTGATAATAAAGAGGCAGTAAGGCATTATTTCCCTTTCTGAAACAGAAAGAAACCTGCAGACTCTAATAATCATCCCTTTGGTAAAGGAACATTGCCACCTAGCAACAGAATCAAGTATTCTTTCTGGGCTCCAGACAAAGACTTGACTCCAGCTACACATTTTCAAATGTACAGATTTCCAAGTATGGGCTTTGGTTGCTTTCAGGGAAATTCAGGGTGGCTAAGCATTCATGGAATGCAGAGAGAAAAAGCCATTTACCACTAGAACCTGGTTTTGTGAAAGCAAGTAGAAATGCTCTTTATAAAAGGTCAAATTATAATATAAATACAAATGGATTCCCTTTAGTAGCCAATGGTAAGCATGAGAACAAAACAAAGATATCTAAATAGACTTTGTTGAAAGAAACTTCTTTCTGACCAAAGCTGATAAATTTCATATTTATTTTGTAATTCATAAAATGTCCAAATGTCCCATATATGCAAAAGACTGAATAAAATGACCAGCAATAAATATGGAGACTATCACATATAAAAACAGCATAAATTGAAAGCATTAAACTTGGCTCTCTCTTACGATTCTAGGATCACCCAAGTGTTCCCCAAGTCTAAATAATCTGGTAGACTTCAAACTCATCCTAGCAAAACTAAGTCTCATGCCATGTCTGTTCCTAATATAGGGGATAAATCCTGTTGTCAAGACAGGGAACTATTTAGATTTTCCAAGCATTTGAGATAGGCTTCAATTTTTTTTGTCTTCTCTTATTTTTTTAAGGAACTGCAGGAAAAAAAATTAAGAAAATTCTTTTCAATTTATCAACTTACTAGT